GAGTCGTTTTGACAACCCTAATCATGTAGCTATAAATTGTTAAGGATTGCGACAGTTTAAAAATTATTGTTTATATGAAAACAATCATTTGAATCTAATTTAATAATTTTTATTCTATTTTCTAATACTTTTAATTGATTATAAATCTTTGTACCCTTGTAGTCAAATAATTTTTTTAAAAATGCTACTCATCAATATATATATATATATATATTGATGAGTAATATTTCGAGCCAAGCGAACGAGCCGAACATGAGTTTCTTAATGAGCCAAACACGAGCTGTTCGCAAGCAACAAACCGTTTTGACAGCCCTAGTCTTCAAGGAGGGCAATTTTGAATTTTTTTTTTTTTTTTTTTTTTAATCTTGAGCCTAAATTGATATTTTTATAGACTCTAGTACTAAGCTGAACCCCGACCAAAGATTATTTTGACATCTAGTGTAATCTCACAAAAGTTAGTTGGCTCTAAAACTCCCAAGATAGACAAACATAGAGAAAGAACGCACCTTTTCTCTAGCGCGAGGCGTGCCGGACTGAGACAGTGCCACCAATGGCGGAACAGCCCCTTCTTGAAGAACCGTGCTACAAAATCTATTGCTATTCGTACAGAGCTGAAGCAAAGCCGATGCAGCATTCTCCTTGCCTCTCGCCGAACCCAACTCAACAACTTCCACCAGCACAGGAATCCCATGCTCCCTTCCAATGGCAGTCCTTCCTTCCGGAATCGTTGCAAGATTCGCCAAAACAGCCACAGCCTTATCAACCATGCCGGCGGCCGGATCCATCAGATCCACCAAATACCTCACCGCCCCCGCCTGCACAATCCTCGCCTTGTTCTCATGAAATGTCGACAGATTAAACAATGCCGTAGCCGCATCCTTCTTCCCGCGACGACTCCCATTACCTAACAACGCCACCAATGGTTTGATGGCGCCGGAGCGTCCGATCCGCACCTTGTATTCTTCGATTACGGATAGGCTGAAGAGCCTCGCGGCTGAGTTTTCTTTCCATTCCGAATTTCCGGTTTCGAGCACGTGGACGAGAGGATCGATGGCGTCTGCGTTAGCAATGGCGATCTTGTTGTTGTCGTTGATCGATAGGTTTAGAAGAGCGGTTACAGCATTCGCTTGGGTCTTCGGATCAGTTGAATTTAGAAGAACAACTAGAAGAGGTATGGCTCCGCAATTGGCAATCACGATTCTGTTCTCCATGTTATGCTTCGCGAGAAGTCTCAGATCTTCTGTGGCAGATCTTCGTGTATCGACGGATTCGCTTCGTAGATCCGCCACCAGTTTCCGAACCTCCGTCTCAACGCCAGATAGATCCGGTTTGGTATCAACAGAGGGTGAAGAGATTGTCTTCGGATTAAAGCGGTCGGACGGGCGTCGCCAGAAGATTTGACATCTGGAGCGAGCATCGGTGAGCTTGGGTTCTATCTGAGGAGCAGAGGAAGGAGGAGCATCGCCTGAATCATCACTGCTAGCATGAGTAAGATCACTGTGAACGCGATAGACGGATCTCAGACGCTCGTTTTCTAGAACAGAATTCGAACTAAAACTGCCGCGGATTCGTTCCTGAATTTGACTGTCTTGAGAAAAATCTTCCTTGGAATGAGTTGGAATTTGATCACTGGATCCAGATTCATTCGGGTCCTGAAAAGATGAGCCTGTGGAGCTTGGATCTGTAGAATGGAGCTTAGAAGATGACGGCTTCTCCTCGAGCAGGTAACTTTCATGGTGGATTCCATTAGAGTAAGCAAGATGATCCTTAGCTGATGAAACACCGTTTTCTGGCTTCATATCTATATGGCTGATGAAAGCCGTGGATCTTACCGGATCAGCCGGCTTGATGTCGTTTGATTCGCACCAGTTTTCGATGAGCGCCTTCACGGTATAATTCGGGATTAAATTACTGTGCCCTAGCATTTGGCGAGTTTTGGGGCAAACATTAAACCCTCGATCAAGCCATTTTTTGATATAAACCCGCTCGTAAGTTTGTCCCGATGCGACAATCACGGGATCAGACATTAATTCGAGAGAGAGAGGACAGCAGAAGTCAGGAGGAACCGGGACGCCATTAATGCTCTGTAGCTGCTTTGATTTAATGAGACAATCATGCATATATGTGATGAGTTCCAGAATCTGATCAATGCGCTCCAGTTCCGTATGACTTTCGCTTCGCCCGAGCTTTGATTTAAGCTTATCAAGCGAAACAACCTCCATGAGCAATTCCTCATTAGATGACAAGCTCAAAAAGTTTGAAATTTTCTCCAGATTTTCGGACCAAAATGGCGTTTTGATATGATTTTCGATGAGCACTTTTATTTTATCCGAGATTTTTTCATGATGAACTGACTCAATCTTCTTCGTAAAAGTCTAGAATGAAACGCGGAAAGGATCAGAAAGAAGGAAGAACTGAAATGAATAAGTAGTGAGACTGAGAAGGAATTACCCCAACATTTTCTGCAGATATAGCAGAAGGGTATGAAGATTTAAGTTGTTGGCAAGCCATAACTGCTAATGTCTGTATTTTGGTTATCTTTGGCTCATTTTGGATCACCTGAGCCAGAGATTAATTAGCAACAAAGAATGAGCTATAATTCATCATTTCTTAGTATTTTGTATGCAAATTTCCTTTTATTTTATAGCTCCATGTTTATCTAACAAATTAAAACAAAGAGATAAGCGGATAGAAAAATGCGTATTTCACGTATGTTTATAGCACTTTGGTGCTTTAAATCTATGCATGAAAACCTGTATTTCACTTTTTAAAAAGTGATAATAGTGTTATTTTTTATGCGACATTAAAGATTCGAGTGCTATGTGTATAAATACGAAAGCTGAAGACATGTTAATACATAAGAATTGGGTGAAATTCATGCAAATGCCCCTATTTTATTTTATAGCGAAAAAAACCAGGTTTTTAAAGAAGAAACTGTTAAACAATTATATAAACATTGAATGGAAAAGATTGGGAGATCAACATACAAAATAAACTTTACTCATCGTCTCATGCCAGCTTCGAAGCAGCTCGCTGGCTTCATTAACGATAGAATCGAGTTGGATCAGTACTTCTGTTAGTTTCGCATCGGGAATTATCTCGTAGAGAACGGCTTCCTCCAACACAAGCTTCAACAACATCAATATCTCATCAATTTTTTGGCAGTATCTTTTAACTATTTCTGCTTTTATGGCATTACTGGAAGATAAAAGACCAAAGCATGAGATGCTATTAAGAAGTATCTTTATGGAAGACAGCTCCATTCTACCTGTCATGTAATTTGCAAATGTCTTAGAATAGCCACTCATTCTCAAAACAAATGCATACCTAGTTCTAAGTATATAAAACTTGCGGCATTGACATCTATACCACCCAATTCCTATGTATTTACGTATCTAAAGCCTAAATTTTACTTTGTTGCATTCATACCACTCAAATCTTTCATATGACATAAAAAATATCACTGTTTTAATTTTTACAAAGTGAAACAAATCTTTTCATGCACAATGAGGAGGCATATATATACGTAGAAACTGAAGTTTAAGTGAGATGTATGCAAATCTTTCTAAAAGCTTTAAATTCCCAGAATTCCTCAGGCTGATAGCCATAGCACGAAGCAAAAGGAATGAAAGTGGTTGAGAACCATGGTCAGAAACACACTTAGGTAGTGTTTGGGATCACTTTCGGACTTTATTTTTTATTTTTATTTTTGTATTGTTTCGTTCGCGTTTTTACAAACAAGTTTGGTATGTTAGAAAATGGTTAGTTATTTTTAAGAACATTCAAAATAACTTTTAGGTATTCCAAGTGTTTTTAAAAACAAATTAATCTATTTCTAAAACAAAAAAAATAAAATCATGAAAAAAATGCAAAACAAGTATGTTTTTAAAATAAAATTATCAAGACAAATAAAAAATTAAAGTGATCCCAAATGAGCCCTTTGTTTATAAAAGGAATCATTACAAAAAAATGATTCTGAGTAAAACATAACTGGGTTTTCAACCAAGCTGATGAAATCATAGCAGAAGACAAGGAAAATACTACCCCCATAACCTTAACTTTGTTGCAACAGAAGGATTCGCGTAGGCATTGAATGAATCATTACCATTCAACGACAACATTTCAAACTAAACATGCCTATTAAGCCAAAATCCACACTACAAAGTTCAAATTATAGCCTAACTTGGTCTGATTATGTTGTACTGCTGTTATGTCACACAATTAAGGAGAAAAGTGTCAAAATAGTCCCCTGAATCTTCGTAGAGGGTCATTTTAGTCCTAAATTTTGTTAAAATGTCAATTTAGTCCCTAGATTTTTTTTAATGGGTTAAATTGTCCCGATGAGGATTATTTTAGCCCGTCTGGTAGCATTTTTAGAAATTTTGGACTAACATAGCCTCATGCAATAGTCAAGAGACAAATGTGGCACTTTACTCAAAAATTAAGTCATTGCAGCCCTGATAGAGATGAAAAAATTACTTCGTAAGCATGTGACCTATGATCATAAGCCATGAAAGAGTTGCACACCAAATATAGCCCATTTTTTCCCTGTACTTACAGACAAATCAAAACTGTGGTCTATTAGATTTTTCGAAAACCAACAACAAACCTTTATCCCAGTAAGTGGGGTTGGCTACATAATTCCTTTTTCTCCAATGTGTCCTATAGAGCGTCATATTTTCATTTAATTCTAATAATTTAACATCATTTTTTATACAATATGCCCAAGTCTTTTAAGGTCTACATTTGTCTTTCTTAACATAAGTTAAATCTAAAACATATACTCTCCTAACCAGATCATAAAATGGTTGAAGTTTAATGTGAAACCATTTGAGATGACTCTCTATAATCTTGCCTGCAATTGGAGCTACACAACCCATTCATGGATGGATTTATCTCGCAATTTGTCTCTAGGTGTTCCGCCACTCATCCATCTAAGCATTCTCATCTCAACAACACTTAACTTTATTTTATGCTTCTCTTTAAAGGCTAACATTCCTTAAGTCTTAGCAGCATTTTTTCACCACACAATAGGCCAGATGTATTCCTCCTCTTCAACTAACCAACCTTAATTCTACTAATAACATCCCCATCTATACCACAATCACTTTGAACAATAAACCAAGGCAACTAAAACGTTCACACACTTTAATGATTTGATCATCCATAGTTACAACTCTACCACTAGAGCTACTACTACTAAAACTACATTATATAGATTCAATTTTAGATGTACTCTCGATCATTATCACTTAATAATATTTGAAAAGTTTTTAAAAATTGTGTTTGTACCAATGGTGCAAAAATTTTTGAAAATTATCTTCACTTCAGATTTTCTTTCATTAAATACACCCAACTTAACCTTGTGTGATTCGCAGTAAATATTTTTGAGTGCGTAAAATAATTACAAAGGCCTCATATATCACTATGAATCAGAGTAAAATGTATTGTTGGTTTGTAAATTTGCGGAGGAAAAGATGCATTATGATGTTTGGCAAACTGACAGACTTCAAATTGAAAATATAATAAATTTTTATCTTTAAATAAACAAGGAAATAAAAAAATTAAATACTGAAAACTATGATGACCTAAATTATAATTTCATAACATAATATCATTGTCTTTAGAAGCAAAATCAGAATTTAAATAAATACTTTGACATTGTATATTCGTATCAAGTTCATCGTCAAAATAATAGAATCCATTATTTTCCTTAACACTGTCTATCATCCTCCCAGTGGTAAATTCCTGAAACTCAACAGGAAGAGTGAAAATTAACTTTACATTTATTGTCACGACCTGACCTGAGACTTGAAATTAACTAAAGACGAGAACACACGATCGGATCGTACAAACTAAATTTTCAATATTTATCTACAACTTAACTTATGAAAAAGTCACTAATCAATTTAAAATAAAGCAGTAAAATTAAATTTACCTCGTTGCAGGTTGTCTGCATCTTCTATAAATGTTTTTTAGTCCATCGTTCATTTTTTAATCACCTAACCTGAAAAGTTAGTTTAACATAATTGTGAGCTAAACAAGTCATTTAATACTCATACTTTTAAACAATAATAATACAAAGGAAAAGAAAACAAAATATGTCAATTAAACTTTTCATAAATCAATACAAATATTTAACATGTTATTCAATACATTACTATATCAATATCATATCTCTATCATTATATATTTGTACAATCGCCACAGGAGCACCTTCTAAAAATTGTGTCAATTAAAAGACATCAATTTCAATATCCTTTTCCATATACATGCACGGGTATCTTAGTGTTCTCTATTAATACCATTAAGACGTGACTCCATCATAGTCAATCATGTACATACAAACAATCTATGCAAATAACATCATTCATAATTTCATATCACTCAATATGTAATACTATAATGCATTAATTATTCCATATTATGAGATTATAGGCATTCACAACGAAATGACCGATAAAATTTAATAATAGACCCAAAAACATTCACAACGTCTTGAGTTAACTTTAATTATCATAATTATTAATTTTTTTATAATTATCTTATTGACTCTTTCAACTAGATTATAATACGATTTTTGTAACGACTTGGCCCGAGACTTAGAATTAATCAAGACGAGAACAGACAATCGTACAATGGACACTAAATTTTCAATAATCATCCACAATTTAACTGATGAAAAAGAACTAATCAATTTAAATTAAAGCAATAAAATTAAATATACCTTGTTACTAATTGTTCGCACCTTCTATAAACATTTTATCATCCATTGTTCATCTTTTAATTACTTAATTAATTTGAAAAATTAGTTTAAAATAACTGTGGGCTAAGCAAGCAGTGAATACTCATACTTTTAAACTTTAACAAACAAGAAAAAAGAAAACCAAATGCATATCAGTTAAACTTTTGATAAATCAATATAAATATTTGATATAATATTCAATGCATTACTATATCAATATCATATTAATGTTATTCTATATATGTACAATTGTCACAGAAGCATCGTCTAAAAATTGAGTCAATTAATACACATCAAAATCAATATTTATTTCTATATACGTGTATAGGTACCTTAGTGTTCTTCTATTAGTACCATCAAGGGGTGACTTCATAGTTGACCATGCACGTACAAACAATATATGTAAATCATATCATTCATAATTTCATATTGCTCAACATGTAACACTATAAAAGAATATAAACATTCGTATTGAGATTATCGATAAAATTTAATAATAGAACAATCAATTGCATTAATCAAGCAGGAATTAACAATTCATAAAACTGGATTAGAAGAGATATCAAAATGATATTATAATTTAAGAATAAGAGTGCTCACTTCACTGATAGACAATCCACTTGCTCTTGATGCCAATTTTTTTCCTCTAAAATGGAATGCCTAAGCATGATAAAAAATTTAGTCCATGACATGTTCCTGCCTTTAACAATTATACCAAATTGTCACGTCATGTCATATCATTTTTGTGTCATAGTGTTTATGTTCATGTAGCCGACCCCACATAGTGGGATAAAAGCTTGTTGATGTTGTTATTGTAATGTTTACGTTCATGCTTCACAAACCAACCCTAAATATAAATTATGAGTCTAAAATTGAATAGCTAATTCACATATTGTTCAACAAATCATTATTCTTGTTTAAGACATTCGTATTTATGCAAGAAGTTTTCACTTATGTGTTGGGTTATGGTGGTTATATTGAAACAAGAAAGAACTTTTTATTACATAAATGTTGGTTCTAGCATAGTGAAATTAAGGGCATATGATGAAGTGCTTATGAAATTGGTTGGACTTGAGTATATTCTACATCTGATAAAGAATATCATATATTTAAGTGCTTTCATGATGTTCAATTCCTTAAATGATGTTTAAGTCATTAAGATTTGCAAAATGAGCTTTGGTAGACTTGGAAGTGAATAGTCTTGGTTAAGAAGTGATAAATCTCTCTTTCGAGATCAGAGATCGACAACACTCAATGGTGGTGGCCAACAAAGCTCAAGGATAGAAGGTTATTGAGACAATCAGTGTGACAATTAGTAACGCTTAGCTCAAGGACAAGCAGTGTGCTATCAAGATTCTGTTACTTCCAAATGCTACATTAATTCTTTCAATTGAAGCCCATAAAAGTTGTTGTTGTGTTGAGAGAAAAAACCAAGGCTTAAACTTTGGAGAAGATGAAGATGCATCATTCTTGATCTTGTCCATCTTTTGAAACACTAATTCCAACACCTTTGACTTCAATTTTTTGAATTCTCTTATAACAAGTTCAAATTCAATGACCAAGGAAGTTCATTTTCACACTTCCTAACTAGAACTTTTCCAGCACCCAAACACAAACAAATCTATTTCACATACTTCATCACAAGCCGAATAAATATAAAAGAAAGATTATGAACCTTTTCAACCAAAAACCAACAAAATGGCTATCTGCCAATGGAATTAGTTTAAACATGATAACTTTTAAATCTTGGATTTAGTAAATCCAATTTCTTCTCAGTTTTGCCTGAAATTCCTCCGTCAGCTGAATCCTTTTTTTCCAGCATCGTAACATAAATCCCAGATTTACCAAAATCCAGCATGAATATGGATTTAAAGGATTTACTGAGGACGAATGTCTGCCTCATCGCTTCCCCAACCTCGGCACAATTTTTTTTTCTTCTATTTCTTGCTACCATAATTTTATTTTGTGATTTCTAATTGATAATAAAAAGACTTAAATTTCCAAAAGTCCATGACAGAGAGACAACAAAAGAATCAAGCACTGAACTAAGCAGACAGGAGCTCCGAATCCAAATGAAGATGAAAAACAATTCAATTCAAGCTTAACATTCTTCAGCAGGATCTTCATCCAACTTTGAAATCTTCAAACCTTTTATGTTAAATCCTGAAAACAAATGTGAAACACTTCTTACAGATTTAATTGGATTTAACTTAAAAATTACCAAACATAATTTTAGATTTAACAGCCCAAGATTTAATCACCAATTAGCCTCAGAAGAGCTAATTCTCAGGCAGGATGATAGAAGAAAGAACATAAAAACCATCTCATTCATGGCTCATCATAATCACCAAAACCCGGAATTCTCCACAAATTAAACCCTACAAGCCCCTAAATCCCTCATCAGGAGAACCGACCCATCGAATTCAATCTATGATCCAAACAACCATCATACCTAAGCTCTCATCAAGCATCTATCAGACAAAACCAAAATCGCAAAAACGGTCATAAATCGCAGAATCGAACGAAACAACGAGCGTACCTGCTGATTCCCGATCTGAATTTCAGTAAAATGGAGAGAAATAACGCTTAGATAAACTCAAACTGTTTCGAGAATGTAAAAGAGATAAAATACTTCACCTTCCTGCAAATCCTCCTCCGTGTCCCCGGTGGCGGTCTCCTCTCTCGAACCTTCGCCCATGCCTTCGCCTACAGGTTTCTGCTCCGCCATGATTGGTCGGCTTCTCTGCTTCAACGCGGAGACGCGGGGCTCTCTCTTTAAGGTCCAGCTATGGTGTAATCTGAAGAAAATTTTCGATGGGCGGCAGATTGAGCGAGACAGGCTTAGTCGACTAAGATTTGACTCCAATTTAATAAGAAATTTGACTTTTTTTTATCAAATATCTCTAATTTATAGAGTTTGAGGAAATAAATTTAATTCTTTTTTTGGGCTAGATTCAGGCGTCGAGATTCTTTCATTTTGTTTCATCTGTTAGATCGATATAGACTATGGATCAAACTGTCTGTTTGATACGTAAATTCTTCTCCGTCATATATTATTTACTTTGTTGATGGTGTCGACTAGGGGAGTAAATGATTCTAGTCGGTTCGCGAGCTAGCTCGAGCTCGCCTCATTAATGAGCTCATGAGCCGAGCTTCTCGAGCCAGGAGCTTGAGCTCGAGCTCATCCCGAGTAGGCTTGTTGACTCATAAGCCTGCTTTATTAACCTCTATTCATTTTTTATGCAATTTTCGAGCGAGTTGTCGTTGCATCCTCCTCCTCCAACCATCGATACTTTCTTCGGTGAGCTGCAGTAAAAATTAAATTTTTCGTTTGAGCACGCGAGCCGGCTCGCGAGTTGGCTGCTATGAGTACTGTTACACCCTTGGTGTGAAAGGTAGTACTCTATGGTAACACTGGGCATGATGAAAAGATTAGAATATGTTTTTTATTCTCAAAAGAAAAATATTAAACAAGAATAATATAAATTAAGTAAGAATAATAGAAAGAAATAAGAAAATTTTTATTTTATTCTATAAATAAGAATACAACTGATGCAATTGAAAGAAAATGAGGTAATTGAAAGAAATTAAAATGAAAATAGGTAAACAATTATCCCAACCCAGAAAAAAAAATAATAACTGATACAAAATAAAAAAAATTCCAGCAGTAAATCTAAATCTGGAAAGACAGCTCTGGTGGAGGCGATCTTGCTAGTGGCTAAATAAAATGTTATGCAAAATATCAAGGAGTTAGCTTTACAAACTAATCCAGTAAATAAAAGCAATTTATTAAAGCATAAACGACAAGAAAAATGTGGCTTGTAGTATAACCAATAAATATGGACGACTTACTATGTGTGTAACAGAATTTGTAAAAACTTACGTGCTTATGATCATGAATAATAGTGACTTGAACACATGTGCTATTATGTAGCTATTTATATGCTATAATATTAAGTGTTTTGTACAAATACGATTCATCCATCATTTAATACTAAGTGATAATATACAATTTCAATATATATATATATATATATATATATA